AAAAAAAAAAAAAAAAAAAAAAAAAAAAAAAACAGAACAATCTCCGAAAACACTGAGAGAGTAAAAAAAGACAATTACTTTAGTGCGTTGTCGAGTTCCATCTTGAGATCTTTTAAAATGGGCACCTATAAGTGACGAATCGCCCTGTTTTACGCCATTAACTCCGTCACTTGTTTCAGAAGTTGCAGCTGCAAACAATTTTGACATTGAAACCCACTCACTAAAATTGTTCGCGGAGGACATAGCAAACGTCAGGAAAACTCAACAACCTTGAGAATTACAGAGGACGTTGGGAAAGTTTGTTGCAACATTTGCAGACGTAGTGGGAACTTGAGCTCCTCCAGCCAACTGATGAGCATTGGACTGAGCGTGACTAGTTCCTCGATTGCGGTCGTTATGCTGATCGCCGTTATAAACCATTTTATTTCCACCGTTCAAGAGAGTTTCCAAACCATGTGCTTGTTGAACAGTAGACCTAAACTCCGCCATCTTAATGCCTGCCAAACTTTTTTTGAAAAACGGCATCACTGACGTTTTTCAAGTATAATAAACAGGTACAAAATGTTCGTACTGTGATAATGCTACAAATTCTTAGGAAACAAGCCAGAGCACAAAAAAAAAGCCTTTAAAATGAAGAAAATTAAAAGACGTAAGTTAAAAATATCATTAAACCGAACTAAAAAATAGATACTTTTGAACGGCTTCATACTAACAAGTGTGAGCACCTCTCAGTAACGACAATAAGCATCCTCTTACCAGGTATTCGAATTTTGCTGTGAGCTGACCGGGGCAGAACTTTGAGCTACAGCATTACCACTTCCACCAGCATCTTCTTCGTCATCAATTTCCCCTTCTTCCTTAGAATCGGTGTTATAAACCCCGTCTTAAAACACTTTCAATTCATTTCTTTAAATACTAAACTGTACTAACTATTGTAGCTCCAAATAAAAAAACTAAAAATGATGTTACAGTGAGAAAATAAACTGAATTCGCCCCCTATTTTCCACAAGATTCATTAAAGAAATATTTGATTGCAACTCTGAATAAATGCTCCAAAAGTTGAGATCACCTCTTCCCATCCTACGAAATACACCATGCACAGAAAGAAGAAGATCCATAATAAACACACAAATACACATACAAAAAAAAAAAAAAAAAAAATTCCGTTTATACACAGAAATCATAGTTGCGGAAAAAAAAAAAAAACAAAAACAAAACAAAACTTGCAATAACCATCCTAATTTTATAGCTTAACATTCAAACAGATAAATAGAGAAGAATGTTTCCAAATCTGATCCCTTCCATTTTATCAATCCGAAGAATTAATAGATACGATAAACTGTGAGTCGTAGCACAAAACAACTCAGAGAAAACTTCCAAATATAGTAAGGAAAAACCACCTTGAGCACATGCGGAATTGGTTTTCTTGCTACTAGCAGACGTACCAGTAACGTTGAGATTCGAGGACTCGACTACATCATCAATCATTAAACGACCTTCATCGTCATCAAAGGCATCACCCATAATCAATCAAGATAACGAAAATCCCAAAACGCCAAGCCTGAGTTCTACAAGCTACTCCTGCACTGAAATATAAACCATTTAAGTAACCCAACATTGCATAACGACGGTAAAACAACGATGAACAAGGGATAACACAAAAAAATGTAAATGCTCACAAAGGCTCAAAACTCCTTACTCCCAAAGCACAAACCAATAAGCAGACAAAAAATTTCCGTGATAAAATAAAAACCAATCCAAAAGAAAAATTTTTTTCTTCTATTAAAGGCGCATTAATATAGAAACTTCATACAAAAGTAGTTACATGAAAATTTAAAAATATATATCAACGGCTTGACTTCCTAAAAAAAAACTTTCCACGTTTGACTCTCAAGAATGGACTTATAACTTATGGTGAAAATGCTTGAAAGGGAAAAAATGCTTACACGGCAAACCAAAATCATTTCCTCCTACAAATACTAAACTGTGAAAAGCAAGCTAATTAAAATTTCCTATTATATTGTTGTCTTCATAAAATAATTTTTTCAGTTTACAAAACTCAAATCTACTGCCAAAAGGTGTTCCGAAATAAAAACGTTGATGTACACTTCCTAAATGTGCTAGACAACTTCAGGAGTAATACTGATCCAGAAGAGACCAAACAATAATGTTTTAAAGAGAATTAATGAGAAGAATGACAACCAATTTAACTGGTTATGAGGTCGATCTGAATAATAGATGAATGTCAATAAAAACGTGAGCTGTGGCTATTTGTTGTGACAACTCTATTCAGTTCATAGTTTATTCCGTCGTTTGAAAAGGAAAGATTTTTCACATTACTTTTAAACTTTTTATATTTCTAAATCAAGAACTATTGCTTACATGCTAAAATACAAGCGCTACTTACACTTTTTAAAGAAAAATCAATAAAAAAATTTTGGGTAGAATAATCAGTAACTGTGGAAAAAATGCAACCCGAGAAGCATTGTCCATGCCTTCGATGTCTCTGTACCTTCTACAGCCGAAAACTGGCCATGGTATCTAATAGACCAATGCTAGAACAGTATAACAAAAAATAAATACACAAGACGAATAAGTAAACGAGGATAAGATACCACAAAATGACCAACCAAATGATGAAGTACTCGGAATGAAATTCGTCCTGATGACAAACACTTATTCGAATGAGAAGAATAAAGACTGCGAGGCACTCGCAAAACGTTCATTCCCAATTATTCCCAAAAACGCCCCTTAACAATAAATGTAATATACTTACGACCCGAAAACAAACAGATTACCATGGCCAAAGAGTATGACTTCAGACTCGGTTGAAGGAGCAGAACACAAAAAAATTTATGCTTCTGAAAGAGTCAGTAAGATTAAATCAACGCCTGACTTTCTTTCTCTGGCTGTTGCTCACAGACAGAAAAAGGAACAAAAATGGAAGTTGGTTCTCGAGTCAAGTCCAAAGATTTCTGTGACAAGTTAAACCTACAAGACTACCTCCGCGTTCATCAGCAGGCCTAAAAATACGATTCATTCCGTAACCCAAACATTCAGTAATGAAATAACGAGAAGGAAATCTGCCAAAATCCAACTAAACTCACATGCAAAAAACTGCATTAGAAGGCTCAGCTCTAACCAATCAATCTGTAACGAATGCAGAAAGTCGCCACTACCAAGAAATACGTGAACAGCCAAATCATGACTACATCAGAAAAATCGACAAACAAAAACTATCTACTTGAGACCTTCAAAGCTTATAAACCATCCGAGACTATAAGAGGCTGATGAAGAAGTTATGTCCTTTTCAGCAAAAACCATTAATTCATTGATGACCAAACAATAGCTAATTTAACAGCATTTAAAAACTAAAAGAAAAAAATGCAGCATAATTTTAACTACGTTTTCAATCTTGCAAGCACGTTTGGTTTTTAAACGCGTAAAATATGTGTAAAAGGTGGCAAAACCGTCTGTTTACCAATAATTCGAAAAAATCCAACTCAAAACGACACATAATTCTGAAAGCTACGATTTATTCACAAATAACAAGGAAAACGGAAGAGACGTTTGCAAACCTATGTCCCACTATTAAAAAAAAAAAAATAATAATACAAAAACTAGAAAAAAAAAGAACAGAAAAAGAGACAAAAAAACTAAAGTGACTTTGTCCCACAAGAGAAAAAGAAAAAAGTAAAGTAAAATAAAAACAAAAGAAAAAAAGGATATTGTAAACAAAACTCTCCGTTCATTAAATGATTTCCATCCAAAAATCATACATCCAAGTCAAAGAAAAAAACGAGACCACAACTTGTACATCCTTAATCCACAATGGGTAAATTTTTCGACCACAACATATACTTTGAAAAACGAAGACTCAAGTGGTTACATAACTGCGAAGTTGGAAACGAAACAAATTAAAAGCGAACGACAACAGAGATGAAAATATTGATATTAATTCTGATGGTAACGGTATTGCTAATAATAGCAGTAATAAAAATAAATAAATAAATAACAATAATTGTAACAGCAGTGGCAATAATAGCTGATGAAGATAATAATAATATAATATAATATTGACAATATTAACAACAATAATAAACCGATGATTACGGAAAAAATAACAGTATGTACAATTAATCGCAGGAAAAGAAAACGTATCAAATGAAAAGCGTAAACTTATTAAAAAAAAAAGAAAAAAAATATATATAAATATAAATATATATATATATATATATATA